CAAACGAAAATTCAGGATGGTTTGAATTTGATCTTGAATAGTTATTTCGATATTGACTATTTCGACTATGTGATCGACTATATCTGTTTTGTGAGAAATTTCGTGAATTTCTTTGGTATGGTGATCGTCCTCTATAATTCGTTTTATAGGGTGATTGTTGTCTAGAGTAATTGGAGTTATTTGGAAGTGGTTTTCCTGAACTATTATTACTATGAATGTTTTTGTTGGGTAAATTTTGATCTTTCTTCATGCATTGATGAAATGATTTGTTGGGTTCTCTATATTTTTGTGGTTTATTTTGGTTATCTTGTTGTTTTTGTCTGCATTCAGCAATGCTGTGTCCGTATCGTCGACAATAATTACACCATTTTTTGAATGATAGTTTGCCTTTAAAATTTGGGTTTTTCTCGTAAATGTTCAAAATTTCAGTGATGTTTTCGGATAATTCTTTATCAGAGTTGTTGATATTGTTTATCTGTAAAGTAGTAGTTTGGATGTTGTTCACGTTTTGTAGCTTCAAATTTTCCGTTTCTTCTAATTTCATAGTGATTTCTGCTTGCTCTAATTTATCTACTAGTTTTCTAAAGTCTAAATCTGGTTCTCGGATTGAGGAAGGATTGCTCTCTTTTTTATTGCTATTTTTCGCAATTGATGTGTTAGAGTCATCATTAGGATTTTTATAATCATGAGTATTGAGTGAGTATGCTTTTCGGCCTAGTGTTTCTATTCTTACTGCAAGTTGTTACATTGTTTCTTTTGGTAGTCAACGAATTTCATTGCATATAACTCTTTGATGTTGTTGGTTTCTTTCTGAATCAAACATTTTTGAGAATTCTTGTGTGAGACTTTTCCAATCTGATTTTAGTTCTATAGGTAAAACTGAAAACCATTTTTGGGCTGCGCCGTCAAGTGTAGTTTGGATTAAAGCTGTGCGTCTATGTATACAATTTTGATGAAATGGCGTATTTACTGGATCAACTCTTATATTTGAAATTAAATTTGCTGCGACTGCATTTAGATAATCTTCTACAGAATATTCAGTATCTGTGCCTGTGCTGTGATTACCATTAGTGGTTTATTTGATGTTATTGATGATCCACCCATTAGGCATGGATTCATAGTCATTTGTAGTGATTCTGCGGCATGTGGCATTTGAGAAAAATTTGTAAGTTGGCTTTTTGTTTTTTCATGTTGTTGTAAATAATATGGCAATGGAATTTCGTTATGCATTTGAGTTGGTTGGTATGATTGTGTGTTAATTGCATTTTGTTGTAAGATGTTGGATTATTTCTAGGTTGTCATATTTGTTCGTTTCGTGTGTATGGTTCGAAAAAATCTGGTTGGTCATTACTGTAAGAACGAGATCTTTGGCTTGAGTAAAATCGCTGATGATTTTGATTATAATATTTTTCATCATCTGATGGAAAATAATTTTGTGCATAATAATGAGGTTGCTTTCTGGTATGGTATTTATTTGTTTTATTTTTATTTTGTTGAAAAAATGGGTAACTTCCACTTTGTTCTTCTGAGGATCGTGGTTGATCATGAAAATTCACTGAGTTTAAAGTCGGTTGTGGTATATTTTGACCTTGTGAAAATAAAGAGTTTTGAGTATTTGTTTTAGAAAGGTTTTGTTGTTTTTGGTCCATTTCAATAGTTATAATTATGTTCTGCAAAATTATTTTTATGTGATGTTTGTTGTTTGTATGATGGTTTTGTTACTGGTCGGAACGTTGGATAATCCATTTGCGAATATTTTTGTGCAATAGAGGGTTTTACTGTGGATCGTATGATTGTTTGTTGAAGCGTTGGGTTTTTTAATTTTGGAGTTGTAAAATTGAGTTGAATAGGTGAAATGCTTTGTTGTGCTTCTGTTACTGTTATTGTTTCAACAAATTCTTCGCTTACAATGTCATGGGGTTTGTATATCTTGTTGTATAAGATTTCTTGTTCTATTTAAGTTATCATTATTTATAAATGTAGAATTTAAACTATTATTTCCTGTTCTTTCAGGGAAGAATGAATTACAGTTTAAATGTGTTGCGTCAACTGTAAGTGGGTATACTCTAACATAATCTTTTTTAATAGAGATAGTGCTAATTGCCTGACTTGATATATCTGTTGGTATATTAATAAATGATTCATGAGACCATTCAGGGTCCCAAACATAATCTGATTGTTCTGCTAGTACAGTTTCGTCATCTGTATTTTGTGGTCTAAAACTTTTTCTTGCTTGTTCAATAAGATCAATATTGTGACTGAAATAATCGATTATGAACCATGGTAAGATTTTTTGTAAATCGTGTTTAACATGTTCTGTTATTTCATTTTTTGTTAGATTTTCTCGGATTGCATTTAAAAAATTTGAAAATATATGTATTTCCTGTCCTACAATTGTAGGTCGAGATGTTTAAGTAGGTGAATCGCCTTGAGGTTCATTCAATTCTAATATAGATAAATAGCTATAGATAAGTGAGAATACATCGTTTGTAAATATCGAGTTTGCTCTTAGCGAGTTTTGGTGTTGTATGCTTTTGATGTAGTGTAAAAACTTTTGAAAATTCAATATCAACATCATCAGTTTGAATGACATATCTGCCATGAAATGCCTTTGGTGATCTGATTTCTATTGTGAAGATTCCACATTATGATGTGAGACTACATATACCTTTGAGATAGTGATCAAGAAGTTGTCTTTTGATTTTTACATCGGGAAATTCTTTTGTGACTTTTTCCTTTTTCGAATAAGTTTGCAATTAAATCTTGACAAAATTGTACCTGTCCTCGAGGTTCAGTTAATGGATATATTAAAAATGGAAGTACTGAATTTTATGGGTTATCATCATTTCGAATCATTTTTGTGTTGTATTACTGTTAATGTGTAGTTTTCATTGTGTCTTATTGGTTGATTCCAATTGTACAAACGTATTGGTTTGTTTGTGTAGCAATTTTTTATTTTTCGTTTACCTTTTATTGATTCTGGTGATGTGGTTTCTGAATCAGTGAAATATAGTTGGTCGTCAATTTGATGGTTTGTTTTTGTTTGTTAATTATTTTCTTTCTTAGTGTTTGTCATTTTGTTCTTATGTATCCTACTGATTGTCTGTGTGGTGTGATTACGAGGTCATATTTGTCGTCGTTAATTAAACATTTGTGTATTATGATTGTTTGTTTGTTTCCTAAATTGTCTCTTGACGTAAGGTTTAGGATGATGGATGCAAAATCTGGATTAGTGATTCTAATGCCTTAAACGGTTGGTTCTTACGATTTTTTGTGGTTAGCTTAACTTGGGTCGTATATTTGGGTTGGAGAGAAAAGCGTATATCGACTCCTAAGAATGATTTAAACTTTCTCGTGACTAATTCTAAGCTAAGATAGACCTATCTAATCTTACTTAGGGGTTGTGATTTGTGATCAAGGGTTGGAGAATAGTAAATCGATCCTCAAGGTTCAGGTATAATTAGAACGCAAGTAGTTCGTTAGATACTATTTTATGACTTACTAAGCTTAAGTGTTTTAGCCTGGGTCATCTAACAGGAGGAGGATCAAGTGAAGGATGAGTAACCGAAGTTCTTCACTGTTTATCTTCATTAAAGTGGTTAGTTTTTTGAAAAATTTATGTTAATTCTGGGTTGTTGATAAGGGTTGGGTAGTGAATCGACAATTGAGGTCGTTAGACACTAATTAAATTTGGAGGGGGAGAAAAAAATTAATCTGTTTGATCCAAGGATAGACCTTGATGATCAGAGATTTAGAAATTTAAAAATTGAGATTTAGTTTAATTTAAAGATCCAAAGAAAACCTTGATGATCTGTTATTTAAATGAAATTAATTTAAGTGAAAGCAAGGATAAGCCTTGATATTTTAAATTTAGAGGGTTAAGGTTAAATTTTAGGTGATGAAGCTGGGATGATTTATATATATTAACAATTTATGATTTATACTAACTAATTTTTGTATTTTTATATTCAAAAAAATTTTTTTCAAGATGTTATCTAATTTACAGCTGATTTAAGGAAGACGACAAGTGTTGTTTTTATTAGTCGTTATTGTACAATTATTAGGTTTAGCGCCATGAAAGGTTATTGAAGATAGTTCTTCAAGTATCATGTCAGTAAATGAAAATTTATATTTACTGCTGGTAGTATCCTGAAAACAAAAGTTTGATCTCTTTTTTGTCGTACTATCATGAAATCAATTGGTAGATTTCTTCCTAACCGTATGTCGTCTCCTGTTCGACGTCTTCTTCCAATACCGGGTAGTTCTCGTATTGTTCGGAATATTGGATCTGATCTATTGAGGCGTAGAGACATATCTACTAAGTTTTTGTCATACAACATTTTTGAAATGTTGTATTTGTCTAATTTAATTTTTTTTCTAATTCTAGGTTAGTTAAGGTCTGTTAGAGACCTTTTGGTCGCAGCAGATGAGTTATGTATGGATTACTATACTCATAGAGTAATTTCAGATAGGGTACACCTTCTGCTCGTCACGCTATCTTATTTTCGGCCGGATAGATTCGTGCAACTTCTTAGTCTAATACCAATCTTAATCTTACTCTTATATCTCCTAGTCTCAATAGATCTAGTGTACACCAGTTTGCGTGAGTTAGTTCCAGATTGAGAACAACTGTATTCTAAGTTTAATTCAATTTGTTCTGGTGTTGAAACTACAAGTAGTTTGAACACTTTACAAATAAATAGGTTGTTAGTTTGATGGAGTATGATTGGTTAGTATTTAATATTTTATAGAGATAAAATATAATAATAACCAATGATAAATAGTACTTTAGATCTGGTTCCAACTGGTATTTAATGTAAACATTTAAAAATCCAGCAGCAAAAGGGCCATACCTTTGAGGGTGAATTTTTGGAATTAGAATATACGAATCGCTATGCCTAAGCAGGTTAGAGGAAAGTCAATTGAGTTGAATAATGATTATATTTTTGACAATATGGCCCACTTGATTTTGTCGACCATCTGAAATTTCTCACAATTACTTCAAAAAACATGCTTTGAAATTATTTTTGAGCAAATCATTACAATTTCCAGGCCCAAGGAACTATTCACTACATTTCTAGCTAATTTAACACAAAAAACAACGGGAAAGATTTCGAGTCAAAGCATTAACTATCAACTCAGCGTCTCGGTATTTAATCTACAATAATACACTAATTGGGTTATGATAATTTACAGATTAGTCAGCCGCATAGATTAGGATTCTCATTCTATCAGTTTTTTCAAGCTCCATTTGAAACAATTATGCAATCATCTACATCGTACTATATCACTAGTTTCTCTCATGATTTTATTAGTAATGATTGGGATACATCAGGAGTTGATGTACGTATATTTCAGAGTTTTTCTTTCAGAGAGGTTAAATTCAAAGCAGTATCTGTTCATCTGTCCATTTGACCTCTAACCTCTCCAAGGTTCAATGTCTTTTCCTACTTCTCCCCGGCTCAGTTGTTTTCATCCTGGGGTATGTTGAGCAGTTGGAAGTGCAACTCCATTGCAATTGGAGAGGTCGATTGCACCCTGGCTGCTTCTTCAAACACCTAATTCACAAAATTAAACTAACAATTGCAGAGTCAAAAATCAAAACAAAGGCGAAGCTCCACTGGAGAAACACAAGCGAAAAACCGCCAATCAGTAGCTTTAAAGGGTGAAAAAAAAGATAAAGAAACTAATAATTACTTATGAGTTTTTAAAAATCAGCGCCTTCTACGAGAATTGAAGCTGTCATCGGACATTTTAGATTTCTAGCTGACTGCACAACACAATTATACACAAACGTTTATTAATAACAAAAAAAGCTAAAAAGCAGCAAAAGGGAAATTTAAAAAGCACAAAACACAAATTTTGCATGTAATAAATTGGAATGTAATCAACTAAAGGACAACCAACCTAACTTTACATGTAAAAAAAATGAAAGGTATAAAGAATGTATGTGCATAAATTAAGCATTTCAAAAAATTTCACGTTCCTGAAATAGCAGAAACCAATAATACATGCACATAACACTCATGAGCAGTAAAATATTACTAGATTTGAGCACTATCTTATGCCCGTTAGCTTGAAAAGTTAACTCATCATATTACACAAGCTTTTACTTGTGAAGCGACTTTTAATTATTCACGTGTGAAAACAGCTAAAATTTTTTGAATTGATTACATTTTCTGTAGCAAAGTTCCAAAACAATTTGTCATCTAGAAAGATCAAAACCAACAAGGATAGCCTACATCTATGCTAGTAGGACAATATGCTTTGACAATATTCAATTTAAAATTTTAAGAGGCGACCGATGAAGGACAAAAACCGCAAAAATGAGAGATAATCAGAAATGAATCCTAACACTGAATCAATAGTAAGAAAAATCTATCAAACGTCAAAGGTTCAAAAACTTGACTTTAAAAAAAAATCTTTTTTTTCTGCATAAAGAAGGTCGTCGCCGCGTTAGTAGAAAAAATTTCCAAAACAGGGTTTCTCGATTGACCAAATAAACCTATGAATTGCGAGAAAAATTTGAAAAGTTCAAAAACGGCCAATAAATCAAAACTTTACATTTCCGAGAATCATAGCTTTAATTAAGAAAATTTTTTGAGCGTAGCCGCTTATACAGAAGAGATTCACATAACCTGTTATTTTAATTGAACACAAAAACTCAGATTAGAGAGGGTAGTTTTCGAAAAAAGTCAATTAGTTTAAAAAAACAGTAAAAACCATTTATTGTCTTTTCTGAGGGCCCTAATTTTGGTGTTATAAAAAATTGGGTCTAGTTGATTAAACAGGGGCGCTTTCCATGTCAGGTCGTTTCGATTGAACCCAAAAATTCAGATTTGGGAGAGTAGTTTCTCAAAAAAAAGAAAACATAAAAAATCAAAAAACAGTCAAACAATCAAAATTTTTGACATTTCCGAGGGCCATAATTTTTGTATACAACAATATTGAAACAAATATTTCAGATTTGGGCGGATAGTTTTTGAGAAAAGTCAAAAATAATTTTAAAAAAATGGTCAAAAAATCAAATGTTTGCTCTTTCCGAGGGCCCTAACTTGTGAGTAAAAAAATTAGGCTTAGTTGATCATGCAGGGCCACTTTCCACAACCATTTGTTTTGATTGAACTTTAAAAACTCAACCTTGTATTTGATTTTATTACACAGAGGCGAAGTTGCACTTCGCAAAAACAAGCGAGGAAAATACAAAAAAACTCTAACCAGGCAAAACAAAGTGAAATGAAATTTTAAAAATACACATTGATAAAAAAATTGTTGAAATTAGGGTGTCACATTCTCACATCTGCTCCACGACCGCTTGTAATTTTACACCATATACGAATAAAACAGCTAGAGTTTCTATCAAATTGCCAATGTAAAGTAAATCAGCAAAAATTCGACCAAAAAAATTTAAATATATAAATGTTCCGGATTTGAATATCCGGCCTGTTGATAAGGAGTCTCATGTCCTCACCACGGTCACTTGGAAATAAACCAGTGGCCCAGCTAATGCTAGGTCTACCTGTTCCAATTTTCAAAATTTCAAAAAAAAAGACCTTTAAGCTAAACCTTAGTGTTTCTCTGCTTAATTAGGGGATTACCCGCTTAACTAAAAGAGAAAATTACTACTCTTTTATTTGAAGTCTTTATCTCAGATTTTGCTGCATAATTTTAGAAAAAAGTAAAAAAAGGATTCCAAAAATCTAACAGAAATTCAAAAAATTGGATTTTCTTAGATTCATAAAATTTTCTCTACTAAAGCATGGGAATAGCCCCGCTTTCCATGCTTTGATTTTTAGATTGAAGATTTCCGCACCCTTATTTTTTAGATTGAACCCTTAATATCAGATTTAGCTAGTAGTTTTCGAGAATAGTGACGAAATTTCCAAAAAAAGAGTAAAATTTCAAAAGGAATTTTTCCGAAGTCCATTTCAGCTTTTTTTCCAAAAGAATAGGGTAAAACAGGTTACGCAGGGAGATATCAGCACCATGCTAGTTTTAATGAAATATCAACCTCAGAATCAGCAGGTTAGTTTTTGGAAAAAACGACTAACTGTCCAAAAAATGGGCAATAAATAAAAAAAAATTGGACATTTTCTAAGGCCATATAATTTTTTGCAAAACGCAGGGCACAGCCGCTTGCGCAGTTAAGATTCGCATGATTGAAATTTTTCTTTCGGTTAAACCCTTAATCTCCGATTTAGCAGGGTAGTTTTTGAGAAAAGTCAAAAAGTTTTAAGAATTAACCAAAATGTCAAAAAATGGGCCTGAGGTCATACTTTTTTTCTGCCAGTTTTAGGGAATAGCCGCGTGAGAATGGAAGATTCCTTTAATTTGTTATTTTGATTGAAACCTTCGTCTCAGATTTGTCCATTTAATATTCGAGGAAATGGAAAAATTCAAAACAAACAGGCCAAAAATCTCCCTACGGAAACTCGAAGGCGGTAGATTCTTAGGTAAAAATTAAAGAGACTAGTGAAACATGAAAGCACATAGAAGAGCAGCCATTTTTCCATTAATACCATTTGTTTGCTGAAAATCGGTCGGACACTACCCGAAAATGAAGCAGCAAAATATTCCATTAAATTGTTTATGCTTAAATATGCTTAAAATTGATTATATTGAAATATACCATAGGTGACACCAAATGAGCACTTTTACTGGCGACATAGGTTAGAAAAATTCTTCGTAATACTACACTACGCTTGGCTTAATTATTAAAGCAAGCAATTTAGAAATATTATTTAAAAAAAGCAAATTCATCCGGCAAGTAAGACGACAAAAGTTGGGACGAAATCCATGAAGCCGACAAAAAAATCAATTTAATTCCGAAAAAGGTTTCCCAGTAACAAACACTGCACCCAGGAGTTAAGCATGTCAGCAGGCATGAGCATGTCAGCCATTGATTCAACTGATTTTGTTAAACTATTTGTTTACCCGAAAAAAAAATCTACAATCCGATTTGATAACGCTTGCTAAACCGCAAGCGTAAGAACTGGACCAATGTAATTTTTTCCGCTCGAAAATCTTTAAATCAAAATCGAAAAATTGAAGTCGTTCACGTTCTTTCGCGCGATTTCCGTTGTTAAATTGGAGAGCGCAATTGGCCTCTCTTTAAGTCAAAATATTGAATTTCAAAAGTCAAACCGCAAAAGATAAAACTTTGTGGGAGAAATTTTTCCTGTATAAAAAAATCACGAACCTATATAAATGTCTTCGCAACTTTCAATGAAATTTAGGAAAAAATCTGGCCTTCCTCCACTTTTGAATTTCAACTATTTTAGCGTCATCATGATGCAATGAAACTGCAGAGAACAAATTAAATTGTGTGAACACGCTATTTCTTCATACTCTACATCGTATTATGACTCATTTAGCAAGCCTGTAAAACATGTAACATGTAAAACAGATCTGAAAACAGAAAAATTGAAAAAGAAGCAGTTGAAAAAAGCCGCGTGATCAATTTTAGCAGAAAAAAAATCACGCAGCCTAAACAACACGGTTTTCACTTCGTTTATTGACAGTAATGCAGAAAAAAAATTAAACAATAAAGCGCGTTTTGAGCGGTCGAGCCATGAAGTGGCGACTGCCTCCCCTCTCCGACTTACAAGCTGAAGTAGATGTGAATCCATTGAGTCGCTGATTGCACTAGGAGGTGTGAACAAGTGGGTGTTGTTGCATCCCGCCTTGTACTCCACTTGGTCCACACTGATGTGCACTCTTAGTCCCACTTTACTACAGCCCAAGGCACGCAACTCCACCAAGTGTCCAGACATAGCCAGACAGAAGGCCTAGGGCACACAAATCATAATAAAACAAGTATAATAATAGTAATTAGACCGAATGGTCCGTTTTGAAACGTCTCGGAACGGATTTTTTTTTTGCAATTTATGCAACGCTAAAAATTTAGAAAAACATAAGAACAAAAAAATCCACAGAGACGAAGTGGAGCTTTGCAACACCTGTGATACAACACAAACATTAAAAATCAAGAAGAAAAAAGTCTAGGTCTACCAAAATTTTAAACTTTCGTAAGTCTCGGTAGACGTTGATTTTAGGCAAAGATTCCAGAAGTCATTTGAATTTTAAATTAGCAATAGAAGAAAATAGCCAGCAAACAGTTTGAAAAGAGTCAATGAACGCAAGTGCACAGAAAAAAAAACTGATTTGTTTTCTGAAAAAATATTAGCCTTCGAATTTCCAAGAGAAAAACAGATGATCTTGAAGCTCTAAGAATTTTGAGAGCAATTTGTGATTGAAACTTTTTTTGATAAAAGAAACCCATTTTGAGAAAACTAGATCAATAGGTAAAGTTTTTATTTCGCTGGGGAATCTGGTAACTAAATTACATTTTCAAAATTAGAAGTCGATCACTTTTTTGTGACCTTTTGCTGTTTGATAGTGGAGTTTGCCTTCTTTTAACACAGGAAATGAATTGAACTTTAAAAGAAACCAAAAGCCAAACCGTGCAAAGTTAATTTGAGCCTGAACAAAATTGAACTCTTCCTGAAAAACGAAAAAAAATCATCGCGACCTATATAAGAGTCTGAACTACGTTCATCGACTCTTAAAAACAAATCAGACCATCTTTGAGCAGACACAAGTTGGTCCGAAAGTTTTTTTATAAACACTTGCGAGAAAACGACCAAAAAGCAGCTCTATCAAGTAAAATAAGAAAAGCTAGAAATAAGCCTCGGATTAGCAAAAACTCGGCTACAAGTAGGATTCGAACCTGCGATCTACTGCAATCAAGAGTATTTGAGTCTCACACAACCATTCTTACCAACCGACAAACACTAGTCACGAATAAAGCAGCTACATATGCTAACAAATTGCCAATGCGATTCAGCACCAATACAAATAGAAACTTTTGCAATTAATAATTTGGAATAAAACAAACTGAAGGCATCCACACTAACTTTGCAAGTAACAAATCGCAAAGCATAAAACCAAATTATGTATAAATTATGCATTTCGAAAAATTGTTAGATATATTGAGTAAGAAAATCGAGTTTTTATTATTGTGATGTTGTTTGAAACAAATAGCTTTTTTCGGTTCATTTGATAAATTAAAAATGCATCAACTGTGTTAATTTATTACTATTCGAATGTCAAAGCACATGCTATCAAAAATGTGTAGAGGTGCCGCACCAATATTTGCGACTTAGGTTGGAAAACAAGAAGTTTCATACAAATACACTAGCTTCGAAAGTGTAATAATAAAGCAACATCAATTTTGTAAGAAAAAGTGTAAGAAAAGTTGTTTACGGGGAAAAAGCCTAGTTCCCGATTACCAGACAGAAAAAAAGATGTAATAAAATCAAAAAGAAGATACAAATCACTATGTTGATAAACAGTATCCTTCCAAAATGAATATGCCTTTCAAAATGAATTCTAACGTAACATGAAAAAAATTGGACTAGCAAAAAAAAAACAAATAGCTGAAGCGATTGAGCATTTTTTTATCTTGGCAGAAATACATATAGCAAAAACCGCGCATCTACATTTCTTGGCTGATATTACTTCGACGTCTTATAAATCCAACTTTCAAAAAGTGACGGTGAACTGGAGCTCGAGGTGCTTTTTTCTGGTCGCATAAATTTCGACTTCTGAACTATATATTTTTTATTTTACTGAACTTGTTATAGAATCTTCCTACCCTGAGCTCAAAAATAAAACTATATTTCATCGGCGATTTTTTCGTAAAAGCTAAAAGGTCTTAAAAGTTGCCATACTAAGACTAATCTGGGACAGTTAACGCTAATGTTTCGTTCTACAATGCGTTAGCGGTAAATCGCACACTCAAATAGCGCGTAGTGAAAACTTTCTTAACTAAATTTTTTTTGAAATTTTCATTGTTTTTAAATGAAAACTACTTTCAGACGTTCAACAGCATTTGCAACATTCAGTGCTACAGAAATTGCAGTTCGAACAGTCTTGTTAACATTTCTGCCTTTCTGAACGGAGGATAGAACGAAACTATCATATCTCCATAGTTAAAACAGCATAGACCGGAATGGATAGCAAAGTAAGAATTAGAGGGAACGTGTTGTTGAGCAGATGCACAAACTCAACCTACCTTTGCCAACTTCTGGGGTAATCTCTCCGTGTCATTTGGCTCATCAACTAGTGGTTCGTTCGGCTGATCTTCACCCAGGTAGAATATCCTGGTCCACCTCAAAATACCACTGCTAATTGCACTGGTCGAGTCATTCACTCCTGACGATGATTCAGAGTCGGCATTGTGGTCGTTCGGCTTCGTTCCCCCCACTGCCCCTGGCTCGCTCTGATTGGTCGATCGGACAGATGAAGTTGTTACTTTGTTGTTGTTTGTGTTTTTGGCTGGTCTGCAGAGATAGTCGAATGCGTTGAATACGTTGCAGCTCACTTTCGTCTCCAAGTCCATTCCGTCAATGGGACTGATCTCACTAAACATAGCCAACAGAGTTGGACAAATCTAATAAAATCAATAAAACCGAGAAAAACTGATGATAATTTTTTAACCGCTAGTATAGCTAACAGAAGTTGGAAAGAGTCATGAACGCAAGGAAATAGACAAAAAAACTATTGTTTTCTGAAAAACTTCAACTTTCGAAATTCAAAGAAAAAAATGGCGCTAAAGCTCTTTGAAAATCAAGACCAAATTCTGATTGACACTTTTTTGATAAAATCAGCCAATTTGAGAAAACTGGTCAACGCGTAAATTTTGTATTCCGCTAGGATAACTAAAAATGAAACTCTATTTTCGAATTTAGAAAACGATCAAGTTTTTCGTTACCTTTACACTTTTGCTTTTCGATAGCGGAGTTTGCCTTCCTTTTAACAAAAGAGCTGAACAGAACTCAAAAGAAATCACAAGTCAAATCGCGAAAACGAAAAAGCAAAATGGAGCGCCTGAACAATTTTTAAGACTTTTCCGGAAAAAAAATCACCAAGACCTATATAACAGTTTTCACTACAATCATAACTCTTAAAAACCGATTTGAAACTACACAGAGGCGAAGCCGTGCTTCGCAAACATTGGCGAGAAAACGACAAAAAAGCAGCTCTCGGTAAAAATCAGCCTCGAAAATTAAATATGTTACTGTCCCAAAAAATTGCCAATGATATGCAGCAAAAGTGGCGCCAGATATAAATCGACTCAATTTTGCAGGCAATAATTTGGAATATACTAAGCTGAAGGCGTCCGCACTAACTTTGCATGTAATCAATTGGAAAGCATAAAGCCAAATTATGATTAAATTATGTACTTCAAAAAAATGCCAGACAAATTGATTAAAACATTTTCTGAAATGGAATTTTATTATTGCACTGTTGTTTGAAACAAATAGCTTTTTTCGGTTCATTAGATGAATCAAAAATGCATGAACTTATTACTTACTACGTGTTAACTTATTACGTATCGAATCTTGAAGCACATGCTACCAAATACCGCCCCAAAAATGGCACCATTATTTGCCACTTAATTTGAAAAAAAAGTCGTACTATTACGCTTCGCTAGAAGGTGTAACAAACTCATTAACGTATTTTTTTTCTCCCATTCCTTTTATTAATGGAGAGCTTATTTTACCTTTCGTGCAATTAGTTTTGAAATGGTTTGAAAACTATCTCTCGTTAACACTTCAACATTTTAAGACACCATTATACTAATTATCATCAGTAGACACCATTATACTAAATATACAATGAGCACATAAAAATCGATTAAAAAAACAAGTTTAATTTTTTTTCAAATCAAACCTAAAACAAAGCCAATCGAAGATCGGAATAGAGTAATGAACGCAAGTTAACATAAAAAAAAACACTTTGTTCTTGAAGTTTTTCGAATTTCTAGTGCAATTTATAATTGGCACTTTCTAAAAAACCAATTTGAGAAAACTAGATTATTAGTAAGTTTTAATTCCGCTGAGAAATCTAAGAACTAAATTCGACTTTCGGAACTAGAAATTGATCACGTTTTTTTGCGCCATTTCAGCTTTCATAATTGGAGCGCATTTTGCCTACCTCCAGCAAATAAATTTCAACTGAATTCAAAAAGTGCATATACACCTAAGGTCATTCATATGTGCATTTACTATGAATGCACTTATATTGTTATTAGAGCATTTTAAGACTTTTATATTGTTATTAGAGCATTTTAAGACTTTTCCTGAAAAAAAAAACAAAAAAATAATCTCCGTCCTATATAAGAGTCTTAACTACGTTCATTGTCTTTTAAAATAATTTCGCAGCGTTTTCTGAAGTCAACTGTTTTTTTTTTGCTGTACGCTATTTTGATCAAAATAATAGCACGACTTTAATCAAAATTGAATGTTTTCTAACCAGGGCGAGTGAACTTCATAGTCTTCGATCCACCTCACACTCAAACTCTGCTTCGCCTCCTTTCCCTGTTTGTACTCCTGAAGAGTCTGGCAGGGGATCTGGAAATCCTTCATTCCCCTCAGCGCCTGTTTCAGCTCCACGAACAGCGACTTACACATCACCACATTCAGCCCATCTTCAATTATTGTTATCTTGGCTACCACGTCTTGACTGTTCACTGAGTTCTCAAGGTCACTGTCCTGAGAGTCTGGCACAAATGAGTCATCGATGTCTGGACAGAGGGTTCCACAGAATAGAAGGAAGCCCACTCCGGTGCACCGCCGTGTTCCGTCTCTGTTCTGCCCGAACGCCTAAAAGTAGGTAGGGCCGAAGTTAATCACAGATTCGTACGAGTTACCATATTACAATTACGAATTTTATACTATTTTTTTAAAGAAAAAAAATCGATAAAATCCATTAAAAATGTCTAAAAACAGTACAATTTTGTGTGAATAAAAGTATGCATGCATTATACAACCTCTTGCATTAAACAGCCTATTACCTATATGTGAGATTTAAATTTCGTGGGAATTCGCAACACATAACATTACTATTTTGCGGTTTATTTCAGAACGAATAATTACAGAACTATTCAAACATTTAAGGAGAACGCAATAAAAATAAAACAATAGAACAATTCATTAGATTTTGAACTGACGGTGAGAAAATAATCATGATTCGATTTATGATTCGGTCAATAGGTTCTATAGATGCATCTATGTGTATGTATGGGCGTGTTAGTGTACATGACTTGCCTGAGGTTCTAGCTTGGCGTCGTCTGTCTCCACACATACAAGATGTGAGTCTGCGAAGGGGGCAAAGCTCAGTCCCAAAATCAACTCCTCTTCCATCTCTCGCCCATTCAACACATCACACACCTGCACAGATGATGACTGTCTTCATTACATGGCATTTACAACAAAAAAAATCAAAACATCGCAAACAGGCAATTGGGAAAGAGTCAACGATCGCACCGAAACAGAAAAAAACTTACTTCTTTTTCGAATTTCAAAGAAAAAATACATGGCCTTAAATCTCTTAGAATTTCAGGACTAATTTATGACTGTCACTTTTTTGATAAATAGTTATAAATTCCACTTCTAAACTTTCACTTTTTTGCGCCATTTCTGCTTTCGCATTTAGAGAGCGCATTTTGCCTACCTTTTAGCAAATGAAACTGAATTGAACTAAAAAGAGCACATACACCTAAGGGCGTTCATAAAGGACCTCATATGTATGAATGCACATCTGTAATTAAAACAGCATTTCAAGACTATTCCTTAAACGAAAACCAAAAAAAACATCACGACCTTTAGAAGAGACTAAAACATTTTTATCGACACCTAACAAACAGAAGATTTGCGATATCCAAGAAACATTATTCAAGTTTTAATTAAATAATGAACATAGCCAATCGAAGATCGGAAAAGAGCAATGAACGCAAGTATACAAAAAACACTGACTTTGTTGAAAAAATATCAACTATCGAACTTCAAAAAAAAACAAGATGCCCTTTAAGATCTCTTAATATCTAGAACAATTTATCATCGGCGCTTTTCTGATAACATGAACCCAACTAGAGCAAACTGGATCAGTAGGTAAACTTTTTATTCCGCTGGAAATCCAAAAGTTAAAGTCCAATTTTGAAACTAGAAATTGTTCACGTTTTTTCGCGCAATTTCCACGTTTGTATTTGGAGAGTGCTATTTACATTACTTTCAGCAGATTAATTTCCATTGAAGTCAAAAAGTGCTTATACCTAAGTGCATCAATGTTTTAAAACTTTTTTCCTGAAAAAAAAAACAAAAAAATCGCAAGACCTATATAAGAGTCTTCACTACGTTCATTACTCTTAATAATCTTATATTTTACTAGCTCTGACAAATAAGAAAACAAAACCAACAGACAACAAGAAGTTAAATACTTAAGAAACTTTATAAATATTTATCATTGTCAACTTTCTCAAAAACAAACAAGTTAGAGAAATTGTGTTCAATGGGGTAATTTGCCTTCCTTTTGCATATTTAGCTAAGTGCATTAATAAATGAATTTATATGTGAGAATGCACTTCTCTAGTTATGAGAGCAGTTTAAGACTTTTTCCTGAACAGACAAACAAAAAAAACACCAAGACCTAAATTAGAGTATTCACTAGTTTTTAAACACTAGTTTCGCAAACACTAGCAAGAGTACGACAAAATGCAGCTCTATAAATTTCAATAAGAAAATCTAGAAAGAAGCCTCGCATTAGTAGAAATTCGGCAAGCTCTCAGATTCGATCTGCGACCTAGAGATTATGAGTCTCACGCACTGACCACTCAGCCACGGACGCTCAATAAATCACATCACAAGCCAAAAATAAATCATAAAAGAAATGCTATGAAATTTCCAATGCTACAAATTGTGATTATAGCAAAAGTGCCATCAAATAAAAGAAAATTTTTAATGAACGCTTTTAGTTGTTGAGTTAGATTAGAAAAAAAAACGTTCGTACAAATTCACTAAGCTGCTCTAGTTTAATTATCCAATGTTACAATTTTGCAAAACTCAGATGTTTCTTACAACTTCACGCGTTTTGAAGAAATTAATGCAGATGGGGATAACTGGCATTTTTGTTCCCAAAAAAAAACTGGCTTAAAACAAGTTCTTAAAATGATACTTTCTCAGTGGGTAGCCTAGATCATATTCTCTAGGTCAATGAAGAAAGTTAGTTGCATGAATTTGCGCTTAAATCTTTGCACAAGTAAAACCACCAATGGTACCATTTAAAGGTCAGGAAAAAGTTTTCAAAGTTAGTTTCTAAGTTTTGCCAGTGAACTGATTTTTTTAAACTAATTTAAGTGGCAAATCTAACAAAATATAAACATTTTTTCCTATTGTTTTCATCCACTTGAAGTATATTTCAAGTGGTCTGACACTTCTAAACGAGCTTTTGAATGGGACTCATCATAAACAGCGTGACCACACTTCTAAATGAGTAACCCAAGATTGTCTAATTTTTGAGTGCACCCTTACCAAAAAATTTGTGCACGGACTTAAAGTATCATGAACTGATGAAATTCGTATCTACTTACGACGTCGTATCTATTGCGCGGAATGAGAACAGTTGCCGAGTTGTTATCGGGTGACGACGAAGCGGGACTAGTTGACGATGCGAACGAGTCCTGACTGAGGGATGTCTCTATTTGAGGTGGGGTGGTGGATATGGTAGCAAATGCATCTGGGACTACTTTGAACTCGTTGAACAGCCACTGTCGCATGTCCACGAACCCATCCAGAATCGAACCACTGTCCTCTATGTAGATGGGGTATCTGTCTCTCACACTCACCAATGGACACGGGTACTCTACAAAGCACAGCAAACAGTCAGTATTCCACTAACTTCTCCCATTATTGATAAGATTAACCAATCATTATTGATAAGATTAACCAAGCACAGCAAACAGTCAGTATTCCACTTACTTTTCCCATTATTGATAAGATTAACCAATCATTACTTCAGATTTCAAATTTAAAACAAAACCACTAGTCGAAGAGAAAAGAGTCTAGCAAAAAGCCGTACAGCCGTAGCTTCCTTGTTTTACTGCAGCAAAAGATAGTGCTGATTTAATTTATCCGGATAAAACGAACAAAATTTGAAATTTTAAATGAATTTTTCTCAAATTGCGTTAAGATAGGACAAAACGTGAAGGGGACAAAGGTTGCTTAGAACTTCAAAATTATTTTGATGCAATTCACTTTTCAAATTCGCAACCAAAATTTTACGTCAAAAATGGGTGATTTCGGCTTTTTTTTCAGTTAATCAACAATTACGCTGAAATTACTACATTAACTCATACAAAGTTGAAGCTGTGCCTCCCAAACACTAACGAGAACACGACAAAAAGGAGCTATATAAAAAGAGAAAGGAAAAAGTAGAAATAAGCCTCGAATAAGTAAAAATTCGGCTACGTCCCAGATTCGAACCTACGATCTTTTTTATAAGTCTAGCAGACTAACCACTCAGCCAAGGACAAAAAATTAGTAACAAACACTAGCCACAAACAAAAAGCAGATAACAGATGCTATGCAATTTCCAACGCTTACAGTGAATTTCCTTATAATCGGACACTTTCATTAGCGAGTTAGGTTAGAAAAAAAAAGAAGATTTGTACTAATACACTAACGTACGCAAGTGTGATGAGAAACTTATAGCAAAAGAAGCCTCTTACGCCGGCCAATAAAACTTTAGCAGGGCACAAAAATCTGTATAAGTGAATTTATTTCAGCTTGAAAGCAAAAACTTCATTAACAAGATAATTGATAAACAAAAAAAAGCCAAAATGACCCATTTTTGGGGTAAATTTTTGGTTGAGCATTTCGAAAAAAATACACCCATTTAATTCTGGTGAAATTCTAGGTAGCTTTTATTCTTAAAACTTAATGACTAACCTTAACCCAATTTGAGAAAAACGAGTTTGAGTTTTAGACAGTTGTTAATTGTGTCCAGTTAATTTAAATCACCACTTATTTAAGCTCACGTTTATGCTGATGTCCTATTCCGAGGAGAACCCTTAGTGGATACACTTTAGCCCAAGATGACTCCAACTTATGCAGCAACAGAGCGAACAGTAGAGGAGGTCTGGACTCCTTATCTTGTCCGCCCGGCAGTGGCAGTCGCTGGTCACACTGACAGGTCTGAGAGAAAAATAGGACACTGCCGGGACTCGAACTACTGTCGCTACCACATCCGAGGAAATCGTTGAGGAACTCAAGCGACATGCAGTCGAGGTTGTTGAACGTGATTCCTGTAAATAAAAATGCCGGTTTTTAATATGAACAACAATAAACATAGCCAACTGCAGTTGAAAAAGGGTAACGAACACAAGAAACAGAAAAAAACACTAACTTTTTTTTTTAAAAACTTCAACTTTCGAATTTTGAAGCAAAATTATATGCCTTCGAAGCTGTTTAAACTTCAATAACCATTTACGATTTCTGCTTTAATGATAAACAAAATTTTGAGAAAACTGGATTAATGTTTAACCATTTACGATTTCTGCTTTAATGATAAACAAAATTTTGAGAAAACTGGATTAATGTTAAGTTTTTAATTCCGCTGGGAAATCAGAACATTAAAATTCACTTTCGAAACTAGAAGTCGGTCATGTTTTTCGTGACCTTTATCCTTCTGCTGTTCGATAAGGGAAGTTTCCTACCTTTTAACAATGGAAATGATTTGAACTTGAAACACAGAGGCGAAGTGGAGCTTCGCACCACATGCAAAACAACACAAAAGAAAAGTTAGAAAATACTAGATCTAACTAAATTCTAATGTCTCAATGAAAGTTCCTTCTAGGTACACATATCAACCATTTGAATATTAAAATAGCAACGGAACGGAATTAACGAAGAGCAAACAAAGCCGACAACCTTTGAGCAGGCACAAGTTGAGTCGAAAATAAAAGATTTTATATAAAAAAAATCTTCTAAGTCAAAGTCCCACCTGAAACTACATTGAACAACACTTTAACTTGCATCCGCAATTAAAACTGCTTGCAGTACAAGAAAAATTAAAGATGTGTCATTTAAGCCCACAGTCTTTGGGCAGACACCAGTTCGACCGAAAAAAAAACTAATAACTTTTATTTTTTTAACCTTTCAAGTCCTCCCCTTGAAACTAGAATGAACAACTTTTGCACCTGCAATTTGCAAGCAAATTCCCTGAAGTAGCAACTACGCCGACAAAACTAGAGCAGACAAACGAAAGTCCGACAATTGCATACATACAGAAAAAAGGTCCTACCTAAAAATACATACCTAAAAACAAAAAAGCTAAGATGTTAGAAAAAAAGTGAAAGAGAAAAAATTTTGTCTGGAAAAAAAATCTAGACCCTGATTACAAGACGCTTGTTCGCACGTGTAAAGAGACCACAAGTCAAACCGCGAAAAATCAAAACTGAGCGTGAACAAATTTGAGAATTTTTACGTTCATTACTCTTATAAAAAACTCGCATCTGCTTGATTAAAAAAACTCTTCCAGACTTCGGTATATTTTAGAATTTTTCGTTTAAAACCTGATGCCGCAAGGAATGATTTGTTGGTGGACGAGGTTTAACAGAATTGATGGAGCCTTTTTATCTTCAGCTTCAATGTCTTATTTAATCTGATCTAACCTAGAAGCGCCATTCTGTACATGTGAGAGAATAGATCGAAAGCAGAAGTCGGTATCGTTTCATTCAGCGAGTTTTTCTTCAGCACAAAGACCACCTCTGTCTGACAGTGGTTCTCAAGTCCATCAGACACGAACACAAAACACTCTCCATTCTGACAACAGCTCACTGAAATCACAGTCACAATGTAGTTCACAATGTACTGTCACTTAGGGCCACATTTATAACTCCTTTAGAAACAACTAGATTCAAACAAACAAAAAATTCAGATTTACAATACTTCTGAAATTTCATAAAACATAGCCAAATGACAGTTGGAAAAGAGTAATGAACGCAATGAAACTGAAAAAAAACCGACTTCAACTTTTGATTTTCGAAGAAAAAAATACATGGCCTTAAAGCTCTTTGAGTTTGTAAGAACAATTTATGATGGACATTTTTTTGTTAAAATTGACCCAATTTGAGAAAACTGGATCAATAGGTAAAACTTTTATTTCGCTGGGAAATCTGATAATTAACTTCCATTTTCAAAATTAGAAGTCGATCACGTTTTTCGTGACCTTTACAACTTTGCTGTTCGATAGTGGAGTTTGCCTTCCTTTTAACGATAGAAATGCAGTGAACTTAAAAAGAAATCAAAAGTCAAACCGCGAAAAATCAAAACTGAGCGTGAAGAAATTTTGACTTTTTCCCGGAAAAAAAAATCAGCAAGACGTATATAAGAGTACTCACTACGTTAATTTTTCTTTAAAATGTCGATCGGGATTACTACTTCCCCCTTTTGCAAGAGCGTATCTTCATTAGTAGGAACAAAATTAACAAATGCTTAACGTTGAATTATTTCTTTATAGGGGTGACAACTTGTTATTGGATACCATACAGGTGAATGGGGACAGTTGCAGAGATCCACCGATCGTTACCAAACCATGCCCACAAAAAAGCATGCGATATTTCCATATACTTACAATCACATATTTTGACATTGACGTGCAGATTGGCTTCCAGACGGAACCTGACCGGCGGCAGCGAGGGATCTGAAAAAGAACAAACAGTTCAATAACAAACAGCCAACAAGAAAACTGAATTTTTTGAAAAAATGTCACCTTGCGAACTTCAAAATGAAAAATATATGGCCTTAAAGCTCTTTGAATTTAGATAAGAATTAATAATTGACTCCTTTTTGAAAAAAAAATAATTCAGTTCAAGAAAAATGGAAGATATCCAACAAACAGTTTGTAAAGAGTCAATGAAAGCTAGTAAACTGAAAAAACTGGCTTGTTTTTTGAAAAAAAAAAAAACAACTTTAGATTTTCAAAAAAAGATGCTCTTAAATCGCTCTGAATTTCTAGAACAAATTATAATTGACACTTTTTGTCTAAACTACCCCAATTTGAGAAAACTGGAACAAAAATTAAAAATTTCTACTTCGCTGGGAAATCTGAGGAAGTCCATAACGTTTTTCGAGACCTTTACAATTTAGCTGTTCGATAGTGGAACTTGCCTTCCTTTTAAGAAAGGTCATGAACTGAGCTAAAAAAAGAACCGCAAAAATTTAAAATTGAACCCGAACAAATTTTAAGACTTTTCCTTAAAGAAAAACGAACATCGTCTACATCCATCGACATTTCAAAATAATCATTTTTATTCTTAAGCCGATGCAAAAACCTGTTCAATTAAGCGACAAAACATGAGCCAAAAAAATAAGACCCAGTTTTAAGGTTCAAGACAGAGGCAAAGCTGCGCTTCGCAAACACTAGCGAATACACGACAAATAAGCAGTTTTATAACGTGAAATAAAAAATAGTAATAAGCCTCGAGTTGGTAAAATTTTGCAACTCATTGGCTGGGAAGCTGTGACCTCGAGAATTGGAGTATCACGTCCTCTCGGCCACGAACGCTTACAATCGGCAAACAGTAGTCACAAATAAAGCAGCTACATATGCTAATAAATAGCCAATGCACCAAGTGGCACCAAATAGAAATAGACACAATTTTGCAAGTAATAATTTGGAATATAACAAAGTGAAGGCAATCACACTTATTTTGCATATAATAAAATGGAAAGCATTAACCCACAATATGTACAAATTATGCATTTCAAAAAATTGCGAGATATATTGAGTTAGAAAAATTCGAAAATAGAGTTTTCATTATTGTTATGTTGTTTGAAACAAATGGCTTTTTTTCGGTTCATTTGATGAATTCAAAATGCATCAACTGTGTTAACTTATTACTATTCGAATGTCGAAGCACATGCTATCAAAAAATCGTAAAGGTGCCACCAAAAAAGGCATCAATATTTGCGACTTAGCTTAGAAAAAAGAATAGTCGTGCTGTTACACTATACACTAACGCTCGATAGTGTAGTCAACAAGCAAGTGCACATTGTTGTAAGAAAAGATGTTCAAAGGAAAAAATACTTGCCCGATTACAAGAAACTTGCTCTTGCAAGTGTAATAAAAGCGACGGGTGATATATTAACGTCGATGGAAGATTGCAGAAACTCCACCCTGTCCTAAAAAACTTGCCGATTGTTATAATCTAGCACCGATATCTGCAGCTGACTACTGACCTTGACACAACCGATGAATCAACTTCTCTTTTTCCGGTTCAGACAAATTTCTTATCTGTTCTCTGATTGGTCCATTAGTACTGCAGTCTGCTACAGGTGGCAGAGGCTGTCTCTCATTGGTCGTTGAGTCCACTGACTCATACATGTGGCCCAGCTGGGTCTCCCTGATTTTTCTCTTCACTACTGCTCCTGGTCTGATCTCCACTATTTCTACTAAATACGAGACGCAAATTAGACCTTTTTACTCACAAAACTTCAGAAAAATAAAATAAAAATTCAATTTTCTTGATGAGTGTATAGCTTGTCGCTAACAGGACAGTTGAAAGGTTATAGATATAAAAACTAAGTGTTTGAAAGTCATTTAAAAACGGGCAAACTAAGCAAACTTCTGATTCCTATTGTGTATTAAAGATACATCTTTTGGTCATATCTCCAGGTTAGAACCAGAATTACAAAAGAAGTCGAAAGTTCACTTAGTCAATTTAGCAAACATACAAAATCATCAACTTCATCATAGACGAAAATCGCAGAGAATACATGACAGGTTACTTACATTCGTCTTCGGCGTTGTCTTGCTGTGGCTGCGTTTGCACTCCCTGTTGCTGTGACATCATCTGAAACTGTCTGCTGATTGCCCTTCCCCTAGACAGACTCTTCCTCACCACGTCATAGCGAGAGGTAGGCGGATCCTCGATCGAAGAAGACCCGGGACTAACTCCATCTGCAAATAGCACCTGTTTCGCCGACTCCGAGTGGGAGGCTGCATGACTGTCCGAACTCCGTCCAGATCCTGTATCTACGGCGAACAGAACATTCCGTTAGAGTTTGATAGCATTTGAATAAAATTAACAACTGCCAAAAAATTACTTGACTCGCTTGTTCGATGCTTCAGTGCTGACTTTATGGCGCGAAGTTGCTGCCCTGAAACATTCAGTTTCCACATTATTGCTTGTTGGTTCAAAACTTACGGATTCTTTTTTAACATACAGTAAACGAATAATCAGTTCACCGACCAATTAATTCAAGGATCAACTTGATTCCAAAATTTTATTAAATCAGGATTAGGACGCTGAAATTGATTCACCAATTATAGCTATAATTATAATCACCATTTGGCTGAGATTCACTTGTGTCTTCTTGGTTCTCATTCAGAAGATGATTCGGAATATACACGACCCATTTGTCGTTCTGCTGGTACTTCGTCTCTCCCCCTCCCCCCGAAGCTCCTTCAGACTGCATGATCATCTCATTGGACACTGGGCCCAGTGCACAGTATTGCTGTGGATCACGGTGGGAGACAGGTGATGCTGGTTCGGGAGGGGGTGCCGATGGTTCAGTGTTTGATCTACTAGAATACACTTGCAGCCGTGAGGTTCCCGCTTCTTCGGCTGATTTCTTCAATGTTTCCTCTAAAACACTGAAAGAACTCAAAAAAAAAACTGAAATCATTATTGCACAGGCTCCAAAGAAAGTGCAGTTTCTTACACGTAAAAACACGTCTCCAACCCTACTCTCTAACCTGTTACCAGACCCTTTTTATCTATTCAACTGCCTCAAAAACCGGTCTGAACTAACCCCTAGACGCGTCATAATTCGAACTGTAAATAGCCTTTTGAAATATTTTTCGATTTGCATCAAAATTCAAGATATCAACTAACGCATTAGGAGCAAATCATCACAGCTTCTACACACTCTTTGTGGCCCAGCTAAGACATTGAAAGCGAGGACTCTCTTCGCTTCCGAGCACTTGGCACAGAACACCTCTCCACAGGCTCTGCAGTGGTGTCTTCGGTTTACCAAGTTGAATTTGGACTCACAGAATGAACACATCAGTCTGTGTTTGTCTTCCACCCAACGAGGCTCAACCGAACCTAAAATCAATCATGCAATACATTAGAGCAATTTTTAAAAACAAGCAAAAAAATCGAATCAATTTTCAATTTATTGTTCCAATAATGATTTGGTTTTTTTGTTTTACAGGCAAAATCAAATACCACAAACAATAATCGGAATGTGTCGAGTGATATATCATATTTAAGCCCTTTCAGTCGTGATTCGAAATTGTTACGAGATGGAAATCCTGTTCGTCATATGACAACTTAACTTTTATTCTTTTATTAAGACTTTTAAGCTAAAAAGCACTTGATTTTACTTGAAAGAAAACTAAATTTTGAAGTTTCATTTAGCGCTTCCTCATCAATGATGTTCCCAAAAATAATGTGATTTATTGTGCAAAAAATTAGAAAAATATAGAGAAAATATTTTTTCATTATTTGTTAGTCCTTCATTTATCAAAGACAAATGTTGTCAATTATGCCTAATTTAATTATTTCTCCGCGTTTCTATAAATCTTCAATCACACCACGAACTTGAAACGACAATTTAAAAAATAAATAAACAATTTTGTAATTTTTTCATGAACGTGATCGGAACATTCTGTATTACTTGCATAGCAACCGGCTCTCCTTTATGTATTTAATCTGGTAATATATTGTTATTCAACAACTTCACAAGGATTGAGAACGGGCGCTGTTCCTATGATGAAGAGACCGAATGATGGAAAACTTTTAACCAATCAGAATCGTTAGACGCTTCTTATGGCTTAATGAATTTGCACAAGTTTTATTTTTCATTTCTGTGAATTTGGTTTTAGGTATTTTCCAATATCCGAATTCAATTTCGCAACGTTTGAAAATTCATGTCTGCTTATTTTTTGTGACATTGGGCAAAAGCATTAACAGTTAAACCTATAAAAAAAAGAAACAGTGTATCAATTGGGCAATGTATATCAACCAAGTCTTCAGCAAAGTTGATGCTTTTTCTGGTAATTTTTGTGTTATGGGCTTTATAACAAGGATTTTTGATTGAAAATATTCTGTCATCGTCGTCATTTCCTTCAGCCTTGTCCCACTCTACTGAGGTCAGCGGGCGCGCTTGAAGTGCCAATCGCCAGGAGTCCCATTTGAGCGTGTCTTCTTTCCTGAGCCGGCGTGTTTTCATCAAGTTTTCCACTTCACATATCCAAGTTTTCTTTGGTCTTCCTTTGGGTCTTTTTTCCTTCCACTTTTAGGTTGAGTAGTTGGGTCTGCGGAGTCTCTCTGCATAACATGACTGAACCACCTTAATTGGCTGGTCTCGACAACACTGAGAGCAAGGGCAATCGATATTCAAACGCCCAAAAAGCTCATGGGTTGGTACACAATCCGCTAGAGAGACTCCACATATCATTCACACCATGCGTCATTCAGTAGATGTGATGCGTTGTTTAGCCTACGCATTTAGTGCCCATGCTTCACATGAGTACACAAGGTTTGGTCTCACGCACCGAAGATAGATTATACACCGTTGGTGTAGGGAAAGGCCTTGCTTGCTCAGCAGCGTGCCACGTAGTTTTCTGAAAGCCAACCAGGCTTTTTGTATCCTGTCAGTTACAGTGGCTTCAATATCACCACTTGCATCTATGCAATGGCCAATATAGGTGAACTTGCTGACCTGCTCGAGTTCCCAAAAGTCTTCTCCAATGCAAAGCTGAGTATCGTGACAGCCTGTGCATGCTGCGCACTGAAAATATCGGTGAAAATAACTAACATCTCGCGCAGCCGAGAAAAGCGCCTATGCACCCACTTTTTGCATATGGTTCACTTGATGGAGTTAGCACCAACTCGCTTGCCAAAAAAACTGCAGGGATCGGGCGCTGCAATGGTCAACTTCAACGGCATACTAAGAGCTTTAGTTTTACCAACGTTCACCTTCAGATCTTTACGCTCCATTGGTTTTCCAGGCACCTCTGCGACTGTTTCACCCGGCAGTTAAATATTACCTGCATACTGTAGCTCCATGATGTCATTACTTCGGGCCGTCTTGGTGACGTACTGCATGACTGCTATAAATAGCAGAGGGCCCAGGATCGACCCTTGATGGACTCCCACTGTGACCTCAAAATGTGAAACTAAATTCACATGTGATTAAAAAGCAAAAACTTTTGATTTTCAGCAGTAAAAACCGCGTTAAGCTAAGTTAAATTGAACTTCTGTTGAGCAATTCACGGAAAATAACCATGTCAATTTTTGCTGAATAGAGTAATTCTGTAATAAAAGCTTTGACAAACATATTGGGTTCAAGAAGTGTATTCGCATTGAACGAAACATTCATAAAAAATTCTACGTGCTGTACTATTCAAAATCCACTGGGTTGGGTTGATACACCACAGCGGTAACTATGGAACAGAGGGCAAAATTTCTTGCTAAAATAAATTTTAAAAAAGCTTGCAACAGGTATGAGACGTATCATAATAATGAAAATTTTGAGGAACAAAGAGATGTGCAAAGACGTTTTTGATACATGGCTCATAGTTCAGGCGAAACAATAGCAGTACATTTTGAACTTAAATGAAAAAGTTGCTGATAATTTTTCTGGGATAGACTGCCTTGAAAACATACAGTTTCATACATTTGCGTTCTAAAAATCCTGAATTTGAAGGAAATGCGAAATGAAAGCAGCAGAAAAGAAAGAATCAGCCAATTTTAAAATGAACAAAATCAAGCCGATGAGGCTTAAAAGCAAGATATTTTTGAAATAAATGTTCAATAACGATAAATGAAAAACAAGTACTATGTCGAAAATAATCGGTTAACGAATATTTGTGAAAGTTTTCAACACAGTGAAAATGTCAAAGAAAAGGTTTTGAAAGCTCTAAAGCAGGACTTGGATAGACAACTTCAGTTCGCCAACAATTTTTGTCACGCTATTTCTAAGCAATACTTTGAAAAACAACATGGAAAGTGCGATCAAAATTTTTAGAAACAAACAGGAAATTTTATGAACGTTTTTACGAATGCTCAAACAGTTAAACCTCTTGAAACATTGAGGCTGTTGAAAAAATTTGAAGGAAAAAACCTGTTGTACACTTACAGAAAATGAAAAAACCTTAGTTTAGTGAAAACTGCCATGATTGGCCTCAGTTTAAAGTCAGGTTTTAACTGTTCTTGATGACGACGCCACTATTTCTTTTGCACTGCGAAGTTCTTTACCTGAAGATGTAAAAAGTCAAGGAAGAAATATGAGTGATAATCTTGATGAATTTTGAAAACGTCTTGATGATAGATATGGTAGTGAAGGAAAAATTGTAGAAATTGTGTTATGTTGCATTAAAAATTTTCTTCCCTTGAGAGACATTGAAGAAAAACGTATTTTATTGATAATATCGAAAAGGCAAGTTGAGAATTAAACATCTAGTGAGATTCAGAAATCAGAAACAGCACAATGATTAGTATGATTGAAAAAACACCAGAAGAATTATTGAAAAAATGGATTGAAAGAATTTGTGACAAAGATAGTGTCATAAATAAAACAGACAAGTTTCCGGGATTTTCAAATTTTCTACTATCGCGAAAAATCAAGATTGAATAATCACTCGAAATTTCTTACAAAAAAATATGATTTTAAGCAACAGGCGCGGTTTAATTTGGCAAAAAAATTTGATGAAAAGTCTGCTACAACAATTAACAGTACATAATTGCTACATACGACTGCTTCGCACAAAACGGCTAATTGCTGACTTTTTCGCGATGAAAATGTTCAAAAAAGTTTGCTTTATTGAAAGATAATCGAGCGTGCTTTAATTGTTTGTCAGTTGGCCATACGGCCCAGCAGTGTAAAAAAACAAGCTGTGTGAGAAACCAAACTGTGGAAAAATCATCAAAAATTAATACATTTTGAAACCCCTCCGAATGATAGTACTCGTGAATTTGTGGCCAAATGTAGTCCACCCAACACTAGCAAAAAAAGCTATTCTGCAAATAATGCCAATTGGTCTTTACAGTAGGTTCGCGCGCGAGAAGGTTTTGTGTACTTGGGATTCGGCTGCAACCGTTTCGTTAATTTCACATTCGCAAGACTTCGTTAACTTTCAGCGCAATCGTATTTTTCCAGACGCATTTTCTTTAGATGCTGCATTTTCAGGCACAGCATAGGTCTTATTAGGGCCTAACATTGCACGATACCACCCTAATGCCATACAAAATAAAGATGACTTGGTGCTGTATGAAAATACGTTAGTTTCTGTTCAGGGAGCTACGAACTATTTGTCCATTCGGAAGGTCAATTTGCTAATTGTGAAGTCAGATTGAGTGATTTTTACGACATTGAGAATGCGGGAATAAACTGCAAGCCTAAACGTGGAAACTGTCGTTGTAGTAAAAGTGCCATTGGTACTTCTGATTTTTCAATTCGAGAACAAAAGGAACTCGAGTTGAAAGATTCGGGTCTGACTCTCAACAAAAAATATTTTGCCTCCTGCTTTCTAACAACAGATTTTTGCAGAAAAAAAGTTTTTTGGTACAGAAAAAAGTCTTTCGAAAATCGAATATCATGCCGCTAATACCAGGAGCAGATCATGGATATGGTAAAACAAGGTGTTGCTAAACTGTTGACCTAAGTTGACATGAACTACGACGTACCTATTCACTGTATAAAACATCGTGCAGTTCTCAAAGAATCAGCCTCCAGCACATGTCGCATTATTTTCAATTCATGGGCAAACATTAAGGATCATGTATTAATTGAGTATTGAGCTACAGGACCCGGAACTCTTGAATAACCTGCTAGGTATTCAATTGAAATTTCGAGAAACTTCTTTGGTTACATAGGAGACATCAGAAAAATGTATCATACTTTTTTAATAACCATAGAAGATCAGCAAACTTATCGGTTTCTCTGGAGTGATTTGGATGTTTCGAGATAAATAGTCGAGCACATGATGACAGTTCTGTGGTTTGGCGACCGACCAACTGCAACATTTGTGCAATTAGCTCTGCAAAAAACAGCTGATTTAGCTTCAGAAGATGAAAGTGAAGCCAAACGGGTAGAATTA